ACTGTTTTATTCTTTGCAGGTGTGTTCTGAATCTTCCTCTTCTCTTCAGAGTTTGAACTTCCTGTTAATAAGGATCAGAATGAACTTTTCAATTATTGTTCTTCTGTACTCAAGTTGAGAGTCAATCTGCATYCTCATCCAATTTATGAGTTATTTTAATTTTGGTCATTCTTCTTGTGAAGTTATTTTAGGCTTCCTCAACATTCTCTTTTCTAATGATATGTCAATTTGTTTCAAGGTACCAGAGCAGTACTTGGCTATATCATATATCCTGAATAAGAACTTCTCATTCAGATTCTTGCATATGTATCCAGGACAATCACACACTACAGTTCCTGTATGAAAGTTTGCCAATTCTCCAAGATTGATCTCCGGATGCATCAAATATACCCTATATTTGTTCAGAGTTATGGCCAACTGAAAGTCAGTCATGCCACCCATTAAGGCAGCTCTAAGCATGCCATGAACAACAACAATCAAACCTTTTCTGAACTTGACACCCTTATCTTTGAATGGAGCTAATTTGTAATACAATTGGAGTATATCATTGTGATTGATGAATATGAAATCAGCCTCCGAGAACTCATAAACCCTATTATCTGTTCTCTCAACACTAAAAACTTGGTATACTATACCCTGCCATGTTTTCTGTTTGATGTCCACATCTCTGCGCAACTTGCCTATTCTATGCATAAAATGTTCATATTTTCTCTTGAATGCAGATGGATTTCTTGTAAGTGTATCCACATAATTCTTGATGATGAAATTGGGTTCGGACATGAAAAAATTCCAGTGCTTGAATTCAAGTAACCATTAATCCAAATCTACCTTTTCTTTTTCTTTCTCTTTCTCTACCACTGCAGTTGGAACCAGTTTCAAAGTTTGAGAAATGAAGTACTCCTGTGGAAGACCACATCTTTACCTGATGTTTTCTTCGAATTTTTCTCCATTATCGCCACCTTTTGACAATCCTTACACAGTTCCTTAAGCTTTATCTTGTCCTTTATTTCATCTARAAACTTTTCTTTGACATCTTCCTGTATATTATGTGAACTCTCCATGGCATTCAGAAAATGTGTCAACGCTTCGCTTGTAAACAGAGGAAGTTTTGTAACTTTCAGCACCCTTGGACGCGAAGAACTTCTAAAGTAGTACCGTGGTTCATCAAGGAACACAAATTGATGCATAAGCGCCACGTTCTCAAAGCTTTCATCCAAAGGCTCATGAGCATTAATTCTTGTCAGGTCTAGATCTAATGCCACTTGCATATCATATAAACCCATGCTTCTTATGTGAATCCCCATTGACCTTCTTATTTCCACTTCAGCCCAGGAAAGGTCTGCTTGTTCGAAATGCTTCAGGAGGAAAAATTGATCTTCTAACTTCAACCTTGGAAAATGAGCACTAGAGATCTGATATACACGATTGTCTGCTCTCATTATTTCTAAATCCAAGTAATCCACAACAGCAAAGGATCTTACGTGGAAATTACGGACTTCAATATTTGGGCTATTTATATTTGTCTCTGAATCGTTTCTCCTTAGTCTGCTTATCATTTCAGAGTACATCATCTGCACTTTTCCAGGCCAGTTCCCATCAATTTCATGATCCAGCATGACTTCCTCCTCATCGTCTATTCTGAACATGTGGTTGTAAGACTTAAAAGAGCTGAAAGAGCCATCAGGGTTATGAATAACCATCTCCGAATTGTCCGAACCAATTGACTCCGCTGATTCGGCTGTTGTTTCTTGTTTTTCCTCTAGAGGTTGATTGGTTGAGGGAGTAAAGAATTTTTCATGAATTAATTGAATAAACGAATCAAAAGGTATGAAAGGAATGATTACAACACATGAGTTTTGAAAAATATGCTCATGTCTGGGTTCTACCTCATCATTTCGATTTTTGAAGTCCCCATCTGAACTAGGAATGGCAACGGTGTCAATTTCCTCCGTTTCCATCTTCTCCATCTCATTACAGCCTGCTTCAGTACTATCCACATCCATTCTGTTTTCATCAATATTTCCCTCTTTAATGTTCTCGTCAATTGCTGTATCTGCATTAGATGCCATTACCAGTGTTGTTGTCTCTTCTTGCCTTATTCTCTTACCCTATTTTCATTATTATAGCCAGCTTCATCATCAGAGTCATCATCTTCATCATCAGAGTCATCATCTTCATCATGCTTCCTTTTAGATGACTCGGTTTCTTTATTGCAACCTATTTGTTGAATATCTCTGCGTATCAACATTGTCATTTACCTTAAATCTGCCTTCACTTCATTTAGTTGAGCAGTTGTGGCAAAATCTTCGGTATGAGGCATGTAGGCTTTGGAAATGGGCAGGAATAGGATTTCCTTATGAAGCGGATGGATCAGTTGGAGGTTGGATTGGATTTTTTGTTCTGGCTTGTGTATTGGTGTCAACCATTTGAGACTGCCTAAGGGTATTTACTAGACTAAGAATGGCAGCTTGGTTCTTAGCTTGTATCTCAATCATCTTATGAGACAAAATGTCAAAGTTTTTGAGGATACAACTTTGAAACACCTTGAATTCTTCTTTCGTCATAGAGTTTGATTCCAAGTTGTGGAGAGTTGTTTGGCTGGTTTTCGCGATATTCTTCACATCTTCATCATTCTTCTCAAGCCCATCAATTTTTTCCACGATTGTTCCTCCATTGACGTCATTTTCTCGTGTAAACTTTTTATTTCATTTACAATCGTCAATTCATTGATTTTAGAGTGAATCTTTGCAAATTTACTCTGACAAAAGACACTGAAGTTGTTAAACTCCGTCTGTGTGACAATCGTTGATAGGAAACCAGGATCAACAAATGATCTTGTTTGCAATTCCACAGCAGGTGCGGGTTGGCCTGTTGATGTGACAAACCATCATGTACAACAGATGTACTTGGAAGTGAAATTTTTTTGATGTTCATTCCACCAGGACTTCCACCTAATCCTTGACCATCCGTAGACGAAATGTCTATAGGTGTTAATGCAGGTTGACAAACAACATGAACAGGTACGTCATGAAAACATGTGCTGTTGAAAAGAAGATTCGCAGTTTCTGGTTCTACATTTGGCTCTATATGGGATGGACTTCCCGACTCAATGTGAGTAAAAGAATGATGAGGACGAGACAAGTGTTCCTCAATTTCAACATTAGCTTCCTCCAACTGAGGAGCTAATGGATTATCTGTTGATTGTCTCAAAATGTTTAGTGAAACTTCGCCTTTTTGATAAGGCAATGATTAGGTGGGTAGGGTTGATATGAGTGTCGGCATGGGCTCAGTGCCTTTTTCAATACCTTCCACCAGAGAATGTGGAGAGGTAGCAGATGTGGGTGCCAGTCTTTTTTGGGGATGGGCCAGGGTCCTCGTCTTTTTTTGACCATGTTCTCTCTAAATGCTCTTTTTTTCTCTTCTACCCTGTCTCTCATTCACATTTTCCCTCTCTACAATTTTAGGAGACATAACCCTCTGTGTCTCCTCCCCAACACTCTTTTCTTTTGACCCTTCACCACTCATCCTAGGTGGAAGTGCTTCTTGGGTAGTGTTTGTCAGTTCTGGCAGTCCCATAGAAGCACAATATTCTCTATCGTTCCTAATATATGCTCTTAATTCCAACGGCAGTGGCATATGGTTTCTAAAATTAGAAAGAGGAGTAGATAACCTCAGTAAATCCATGTAGAATTGTGGAGCCATCTCCTCCTCCTCTCTTGCTGGAATGTTCGGTCGTAAGTGCATTGCCCCCTTTACGCAAAGTCGGAAGAATCTCTGAAATGGTATGTACCCATGTGGCTTTGCAATGTACAATTTAATTTCTTCCATGAATAGTTATGCATAATCATAATGCATGTTGAAAGCTATTCCATGGAAGATTGTCAATGTTGGYCTTGATGTTTGATCCAGGCTTGAAGCTTTGAGCGATAAACATCGATTGATACAGGAGAACAAGCAGTACCAAACAGGTGGTAAACCTTTTCTCCTGAAACTGGTTAGTGTTGGCAAGGGATCTTTGTATCCCAATGAGATTAAGTCTTTAATTATCTTCTCTTGAGATGGTAGGGCATCAAAATATGATTTTCCCAAAACTTCATTGTTATTTGGAAGGAAGAGCATCTTTCTTATCAGTTCAAGGGACTGGGAAAAACTGTATCCACCTACAATTGAAGTAATCTCATTTTGTTCCTCACCATAGGTTAGATTTTTCCACCACTGTTGAAGATATTGAACAGGAACTTCATACCTTCTGGTGAACATCCTTTTCAGAGGATGTCTTTTAAGCATCTCAATAACAATTTGATGCTCGAGTTTGAATTTTTCAGATTCCAGATTTAGGGCACTGTTGTTTTCCTTAATGACATCATATTCAGATTCTGGTAAAATAGTCTGACTTACATCAGGCTTTGCAATAGCTACAGACATAGCAGCAATCTGTGTTGGTTGGCTTTCATGAGCATCTCCCACTTCCCCTTGAGATTCAGTGGGTTTAGGGTTTTGTTCTTTAGGCTTTTCAATGACCTGTTCGTCATTTGGCACCAGAATCGGATCCGGATGATTGAATCCGGTGTTAGCTGATGGAGATTGGTTTCCTAAAAGAAGGGAGACATGTTCTTAGATAGCAACTTCAATGTTTCCAATTAGGATAGAAGTACCCTGGTTGACCTCATTATCAGAATAAGAAGAAGAAGAGGATTCGAAGCAGGTTTTGGTGGTATAGATTGTTTTTTGGACGTTGGATTGTGAGTTAGCCATTGATGGATTGCTTTGGTGTTCTGTGATTGCAAGAGGTAAGTTCGTATGAGAAAAATGAAGGCGGGAGTGATGACACTTAACATATATGGAGTATATATTTGGTTTTAAATTTGAATAAAGAACTCGAAAGGTTTGTTTATAGAGTGACATGTGGAAGTGTAGAGTATTTATTGGACTCATTAAGCGTGACAATTTAAAACGTCATATTTTAAAAAAATGTTTAATTACCATTACGATGTAAGTTAATGGTTGGTCGTATCATATACGAACACGTGGTTGACAACCGTCTTAGGTGCATTTTAGAGGAAGGAATGTGTTGTAAGTCTTGAATGCCAAGAGTTGYTGACTAACTCTGAATTTCATTTCAGAGTTGTAGGTCTGAATGTGCCCAGACCTGGAACTTTGATCCTTGCATTTTTAGACTTAATACATTTGAATTACAAAGACTCTGTTAAAAAAATTTCCCCCAAGCGATACTTCCATATCTGTATAGACCTTATACACTCTCTTTTGTTATGTGACAGTCAATATTTGTAAATTAACCCTTAGGAAAGCCATGAAGTTGTTAAACTCCATATCAAAATGTTCAAGTCTGGAATGTACAGAGTCAATTTCTATCTTCCGCACTTATAACCACCATCTTACATCTGGAACCAACTTCAGACTTAGAAATCTGTATTCACAACATATGGTGTGGGAAGACTTCCTCAACCTACAGATTTGAACGTACACAAAATTGTTCCAGACTTGCAATCCTTATTACAAAGTCTGGGTTGGGGGAAAACTTTTTTTTCAGATCAGACTTCCATATCTGTATAAATCTTATAAACTACCATTCGTCATGTGAGAGTCAATATTTGAAAATTAGTCCTTAAGAAAGTCATTAAAATTGTTAGTCCATATTAAAATGTTCGTGACTGAAATGTACATAGTTACTTCCTCACGTCTGAATTTATAACTGAAGCCGTAAATCTGGTACACCACGTTCATACTTGGACGTGGACAGACTACACAACTTCAGAATTTTCATAAATTCATAAACTCAAAATTTCAGCTATCGTCGGTTATAATCCCCATAAAATAGGGAATTTTTAATCGTGGGATGTGGGTTTAAATTGTGATTCAATTTCCGTACTTCTCACTACTCAAATTGGCAACTTTCTCAACTTCAAACTAGAACAATCAAAACGAATTGCTTACCTTCTGTGAGGTATGATAACTTCTTTTGATTAACCTACTTCAAAATTTTGATTAATTAATACATGTTTTTCCTTCTACAGATTAATGGCTGTGAACAATATTACATTCATTGAAGATCTTGACATACAGAAGGATGATTTCACTGTGAAGGTCCGAATTGTTAGACTATGGAAGCAACCGATGTTTGAATTGTTAGACTGTGGAAGCAACCGGTGTTTGAATTGTTAGACTGTGGAAGCAACTGGTGTTTAAAAACACGGATGAAATATATTCCGTTGAAATGATATTAATGGATGAACAAGTAAATTCTTATATCTTTTTCAACCTTTAGTATTGTCAGCATGATATTGAATAATTTTCTAAAATGTCTAAGATCTTCACATCATCACTACTCATTGATTTTTCATTTTTATGTTCTTAGGGCACTAAAATGCAAGAAAATGTCCTACAAAAATGGGTTCCTAAGTTCAGGAACTTACTTCGGGAAGGGACTGCAGTTTTCATTAAGAATGCAAAAATTGCTTGACATGCAATGAAGTACAAGTTAATTGATAATACAAAAAGTTAAGTTTGTATTACAAGACTTCTGTGTCAAATTGTCAGGATTTTAAGAGTTCCATTTTTAGTTTCTCATTTGTGATATTTGCAAATCTTATATCCAAAAGTATCCCAGAACATACAGCAGTCGGTGAGTGAATTAAATCCTTTTACATTGATTGTATTGTTTAAATAAATTATATAATGTACTGTCATTGAAGTTAGATGTTGTTATGTTAAGTTTTTGATGATTACATAGATATAATTGGTGAAGTTATTGTTTGTGAGACAATGGTGACTGTTCCGGATAACAATGGAAAAGCCAAGAGAAGGATGCAGGTTGAGATGTAGGATTTGGAGTAAGTGTTTTACTTTAATTTACTAGCAGTGATCTTCAGAAACTATATAATTCTTTTCATACAATTTATTTAGGGGGATTAAAATGCAAGTGACATTGTAGGATGCGTTCGCTCAGACATTGAATGATTATGTTTCTACTAACAAGGACAAGGGGATTGTTATTATTGTTATTCAGTTTGCAATGGTCAAAATTTATAGAGGTTTGTCTGATTCATAACATATATAGTTCTTTCAAGCAATTTTGTGTTAACTTGTTTCATTTGATTGTTTCAGAAAGACCATTTCTTTCTAACTCATTCAATGGTACGAGGTTGTTCATCAATTCGGACATTGGTGAAATCAAGGATTTTAAGAAAAGGTCAGCAATTTATATTTATTATTTATTTATGTTATATATCTTATATTTCCCTAATATACATTGTTGTGTACTAATACTCCGATTCAATAGTTTGATTCGGGAAAGTGGCGAATCTAAATCGTCACAACAGATTTCAATGCTCTCTGGATTGTCTTATTCATATCATGAATATTTTCTAGACAGAACCAGTAGAGCAAACATTGTTGAAATCAGTGAGACTGTTGAGGTACTGATTTTTTTAAATTGTGTCTTTACATTYAGTAATTGCATTTTAGTGTAACATAGCGTACTTTATACAGGCAAAATCACTAATTGTATTAGGAACGGTGAAAGTATTTAGGAAGGATCTCCCTTGGTTTTACATGGGTTGCACGAGGTGTAACCGCAAGGTTCGACCCATGTACACTATAACTGACAAGGATGATGGATCAGCTATGAAAGAAKAGAGTGAAAGTTTTGAATGTACGACTGACAGATGCAAAGGTAAAAAGACAGAGGTGTTGCCAAAGTAAGTAACAATTACATAACAGTGCTTTTCATTAACTTTTGCACACTCACATTAATGCTCGCTTAATAATCATAAAATGTTCAGAATTTCTTTGAGAGTTCAGGATGATACTGGAATTGTATCATTGACATTATTTGATCGAGAAGCTAATAAAGTTTTGAATCAAACGGCAACAGAGTTGTATGAAAAAGTTAAAGAGGTATGGTTAGAGGTCTTATCTTTTTTCATAAGTTATTTTTTTGGACTCCAAATACCTATTAATGTAAAAGTTGTTTTTTTTTTTGTTAGAGTGCTGATTTAGATATGTTTCCGGATGACTTGTGTTAAACCCAAATCTAACAGTAGAACAATTTCACAGGAACCCTAATAGAAATTGAACGCCGCTTTCTTTATCGAATACAAACTCTCTCAAAAACCCTAATCGACTCTCATGTGATGTTTTTGAATCTGTGTGTTACATAGTGTTGATCATACATCTTACATCTATTCTATGCTTGTATCACTTCTTATATAGGCGATATTTACATGAAAACTGAATCCTATTAATAAAATAACTAAATCCTATAAACAAGGAAATAATCATTATCGAAAATGGAATCAGCACCATCCTTCAAGATTATAAAGATAGTCATCCAGAGCATAGACCAACCAGAGGGATTATGGATATGCGCAGTTCATCACACCTGTTGGACCTTTAAATTCAGCTTTGATATTGATCTAAAACTCTGAATGAACTCTAAGACGATTAAAGTGCAGCGGAAACAATAATAATAACAGAACAGAGTAAATAAATCAAGAACACACAGTCAAGATGAGGAAGAAGATGAACACAGGAGAATTGCTTCAAAGGTTTTTCAATTGATTCAATAGAAAATTTAGACGATTACAATTCGGAAGCGCACTGATTACAAAGGCCTTAGCCGCTATTTATACTAGTTCCTAACGACCTTACTGACAAGATCTAGACGCGTGAAATCATCTAAGTCATCCAAATAAAGTCGATTAATTCCTAGTCACGTAAGAAGCACATGCAGCTAATAACCATTGAACAACAATTGGAAGAGGATCTTCACAGAAGACGAAATCCGCATACCCTTTGTGAGCCATCTCAGAGGCTCTGCTCTAATTGACTTGTATGTTCTTATTGACAGAGAACCATTTTCCAGAACGTTTGTGAGAGACATCAGAGGTTCTGTCACACATTACTTGCTCGAATATAAGGCTTTTGTCGTCAGTCCTCTGTTGTCTTATGTGGAAGATATCCTTCTGTCAAGACTTGTAGAATACTTTTTCATACTTTTACAAGAAGTGAATAATAGAGCTTTCAATCTCCCCCCTAAGTATGAAAAAGTAAATTTGGACAAATGAGTGCAAGAAATGACTAATGAAAGAATATAAGAGGAGATTAAACTCATCCTCTGAAAAAGAATTACATAAATGAACGAATTGAAAAAGATAGTGCAGGCTTATACTATTACAAGAGATTAATCCACAGCAGAGTCTGGATAGTCATGTACGGTAAATTGCAGATCAGACTTGATGGTTTTGTAGACTTTGAATATCCATTCTCTGAAGAAGACTTGAACCTTGATCGTTTTTCAGAAGGTTGGTCACTTCATCCGCCCTTATATGCCCTCTCTGCACCTCTGTCACCACTAGGTTGAACACCCACTCGAGAGACTCTGTCGAATATTTGTGCGTCTCTTTGGGATCGAAGAACCTTAGAATCTCATCCTTGTCCAGGAACACAAACCCAAAGATAGGATTGTGGACAATGGTGTTGGGATGAAATCTAAGCAGCCAACTTGGTCTGTTGTTTGGAGAGGAAATCTTCAGATCTGGCTGGGCCAACCTCATAGCGATGTAGAAATCTTTCTGGCTGTAGAATTTGACTTGAGCGTGCATTACCTCAATCAGCCTTCTAAGAGAAATCGAATATGTTGACCTCCTCTCCATGTATTTGTTCAAGATCTTGTGAAGGAATATTAGATCAAATACACAGAGGTTGTGGAGGTCAGCATCTGTGAAAGTATATAGGTTGTCGTCATCCCTTTTTACCACATACTGAGTATATAGCATGGTCTTCTTTAGCATTGTGCGCAGAGATATGGTTTCGAGAGAAGTGATCACATGCTCTGAGAAGACCTACTCTGGTGGCCTTGTAAGCTTCGAGAAGTGGAACTTTGCAATGGCAGAGGGCATTCTTGTAAGCTCTGGGTCATAAGGGGGCTCTGTGTCCACGGTAGAGTAACGCCACCGCAGAATCTCCTCAACAGTGGTTACGGGCTTTGTGCGCACCTTCTGCGTTGGAATCTTGCTCATAGATTCAAGGATCTCAGATACCCTCCCCACCGTGGCAGATTCTGGCATTCTGGATTCTTCTTCTAGTATAGGCCTCTGGGTAGACCCCTCTGGTAGGATAGGCTTGACAGTTCCTAACAGAGCGTCAAACGTACCTGTGGACGTTTCTTCTGTATCTTCGTGAGTTTGGAAGAAGAGCCTTCTCCAACTCTGGGGATGGGGGCTCTGCCCTTTCTCGCCTGTGCCTCTCCAAAGACGCCTTTAGTGCTCGAACAAGATCTGGGTCATCATACTCTTCTTCATTAATCTCCTCTGGCGTTTCAGAGCTTGACCCCTTCTGTGGCGACTCCTCTACTGCTTTACCCTTGCCTTTCCCCTTAGGCTCTGGAGATTTGTCTTTTGAGAATAGGGCAGCATCAGAGTCCACTATTTTTAGTGGTTTGGCAGAGGTTGTCTTCTTTTGTTCTGTCTTCTTCTCCCTTTCATGACGATCATGGTCATCGCCTCCTTGATCGTCATGGATTTTAGTGGCCTCTGTCTTGCAAGTAGTAAGGGGAGCCTTCTTCAATCGCTTTAAAACCTTGGAAGCCGCCTTCTCCATCTTTTGAATGACCAACTCAGCATTCACAGAGGCATTGTTGATGTCCATCTTTGTGGCCCATTCCATTTTAGAGATGCAATGATAGATCTCATTACGGAATGAGTCACCTTCTTTGACAATTTGCTTCGTGCAATCTCTGATTGATTCGTTTGTTGCTCGGGCTTCCTTGAGGAGTTGGTCGGTGTATTTCTGCACGGTCTCTCCAAGGGCTTCAACCATTGCGTCTAGCTCTCTGTGAGTGGCTAGATGGTTAATGTTATCCCTGGAGGATTTAGAATCAATGCCATAGGTGACTGCAGAGGAGAACATCCCTTTGATCTCATCCTTGAAGGCAGAATAATCGGTGTAGCCGGCGGAAATGAAGTCTGCAGCAAATTGGGTGGCAACCTCTATTAATTATGTCTTGAGCTTTTGGATTGAAGAAGGGTTGAGAGACAGGGCGCTGAAAGCTTCTGTGAGGTCGTCTTTGTTGAGGACAGAGCTCTAAAGCGCTGATACGGTCGCCTTGAGCTTAGAAGTTGTGGAAGTCAACTCATTCAGAGCCTCTGTTAGAGGTGCAAGAGCCTTTGTCGCCGGTTGGGAGAGAACAAGCTTTTCAACTCTTGAATACCTCTGTGGCGAAGGTTTGTAACTCCTCCTTCGTCACATAAGTACTCGGGGAACCTAGATCACCAACACATGGTGACCTAGTAGCCTCGTAAGGTGCCCTCAGTGACTGATTTGTCGATGTCAGCTCGGGGACTTCCACCGGATCCTCGAACATCTCCAATTGGATAGCCTACCAGTGTTCTGTCGATGTCGTGCCTAGTAGGTTCAGAGCCTAACTCG